CCAACCCACGCCTTCGAGTCCTTCGACCACCCCCCCCCCCCCCCCCCCCTCCCCCTCTCTCTCTGTCCGCCCTACCTTGGCCTGGCAGGCTTACAGCTTGCATTGAAGCAGAGAGGAGCCAGGCGAGCCCCTCCCAGGTATGGCTCGAGCTAGGACCGCCGCTCAACGCCCAGGCAGGACACCGACGCGAACGGGAGCAGCCCAAGGACCGAACCAGACGGCTCTGTTGCCAGTACGTACCGCATAGCAGCCAACCTTGGAAAGCTCAGGTTAGGCTGCCTGGCAGCTCTCTGCCGCCACCGGCCGGCCGGTCAACTGGCGCTGCTGCTGCTGCTGCGCTGGCCGCCGTTGCTCTTCTAACGGTTCGATGGTCCCAATCTGTCGACGGCCTCGTTCTCCTCACCTCGTACCTTGTGTTCCTGCTCGCTTCTTTCCTACCAACATAGACTGAAGGCCCTCGTACACGACCGTGTCTCGCACCGCTTTCCTCATTTCCTCCTACTACCTCACCCGGCTTGGCCATATTGCTGCCCTCCAAAGGCAGCCTCCGCCTATCTCTCCGCCTCGCCCTTACCTCACCCACCCTCGCCCTCGTCCTCCCTCCTGACCCCAACCGCCAACCTACAGCTCATCGACGGAGCCAAACCCCACCAGATGGACCTCGTCGCGGGCCTCGTGGCGACACCCTTTCGGGAAATCGTCGTCAAGGCCGCCACAGCCGTTGAGAATGCCGGCGATGACAAGGACATGCTCACCGAGGGCCAGAGGCTCGGCCGGGGCGCGGACCGTATCCTCAAGGCGATTGAGCCCCTGTGCGATCGAATGCTGGCCGACCACGGCGCTGCATTCATTGATGCTCTGAAGGAGAACAGTATGAACAGTCATCTACGTGGCATGTCTGCGAGCTTGGACCCCGAGACTGACTGACACTGTGCCCGATAGATGATATTGCAGGCTACCGATCGCGCCTTGATCTGCTACTGTGGGACTTTGACGATGTCATTACGGCCGCAGACTACGACCGGTCAAAGTTTATCGAGCTGCAGGCCTTGTGCAAGGAGGCTGGTCTGGCCATTCGCGAGATACTCATGCGCATGAGGCTCGAACCGGCGGCCAAGGACCCCCCTGAACCTGTGTCTCCTGCTTCGACATACACGGCACAGATGCCTGGTCGCCAGCCCAGCCTGCCTACGCCAACGGCAGTCGAGGAGCCCCAGCCTATCTTGGCACCAGTCCCAGCTCCTTTGCCTGACGAACTGTCAGCGCCGGCGCCCAGCACTCCTGAGCCCAAGGTCGAAGAGCCGGGCGTGCCACCACCGCCTCCGCCGGCCGCCAACCCCTGGGCGCTACGCATGCCACCCCCTATCGCCACGGGCGCTGCCGAAGAGCTTTCGCCTGTTGTCGTTGTTGAGCGCCGCCGCCCTGTCTCGGCCATTGACTCTCCTGTCGAACACATGTCGCCTGTCGCCTCACCCGCTGTTGTCGAGAACGACCGTGACCGAAGATCCTCCTTTCACACGCCCCGGCGGCTCGATATCGGCGTCGACCACATGATGCAAGAATCTACCGACCGCCGCCACCTCACCGTCTCACCCGACCTGGTTGCCGCCCCAACAGCAGAAAATTCAACATGTGCCACCGAGAGATCCTCCTTCTCAGGTCGCGCTCGCTCCTTTACGGGAACCATCCCGGAAGAGACTGCCGTCGAAGACGCCGAGGCACCCCCCTTCGTCGGCGCCACCATTCTCCCGAGCCACGTCTACCACCGCTACTCCCACACCAGCAACCATTCTTCCGATCACTCGCACCCCTCGCGGCAGCGCTCTCAGGAGTCTCTACACAGCTCTGTATTTGATGGCCGCCGTGACGACACCACCTCGCCCGCCATGATGGATCACCGCGCGTCCATCACGTCGATGCAGGCGCCAGAGGAGAGCCTCTCGCGTGCGCCGACGATCCCGGCTAATTTCCCACCTGGGATCCACGACGGCATTGAAGCCGTGCCGACGAACCAGAGTGGTTATTCAGAACTCATTCCGGTGGATGCGGCGACTACAGAAGTGGGCGTCGTCTCGAGCCCGCCGCGGCGGGAGCAGGACTGCAGCATTGGACTGTCGAGCTCGTTTTACCTGTACAAGGGATTCTGCGAGGGAGCCAAGGATGTCATGCGAGGAGGCATCGGTATCAAGAAGACAAAGAAGCCAGTGCGTATGTCGTTCAAGACGAAATAACACGTGACTGACCTTTGCAGGGCTTTGCAGGGATGCACATCATTGCGCGGTGCTCCCATTGCTTTTACGAGACGGACTTTCAGCACGTCGAACAGGATGTCAAAAACAAGGGTACGTCACATGGAATAGCAGACAAGCAGCATGGCACTAAAGAACATCTGGCAGAGGAGGCAAACTACCACTCGCAGGGGATCGGCTATCGCATTCGGTTCCTGCAAAAGAGCCACATTGCCACGAAGCGCGCCGACGAGACGCTCTATGGGTGCGTCTTCTGTATCGAGGCCCAGGCCACGACGGAGCCGAGCGATGCGACGGTCTTCTTCACGCAACGAGCCCTATTCGAGCATCTCGCGCGCCATGCGCGACCGCTGCCTCACGTCAAGGGCCTCGCGGTCGTCGACGGCGGGGAGGTTCCGTTCAACCTGAGGAACAACTACGATCTGCACTTCAAGATGCCGCCGTCGCGGTCTCCGCTTGCGGGGCAGGAAGATGAGATTGCGACCCAGGCTACGGGGCGGGCGCGGACGACAGTCAAGAGGATGTACGGGATGCGGATGCTTGGGGACCGCACACCGGCGTTTGAACTCGCAGAAGGGGCTCGGGTCGTGGGCATTGAGTTCCCGGCCAAGTACGAGGGAGAGTGGGCCATGGGCTGGCACGACGGCGAGTACAAGAGCGTGCCCGTCGACGTGCTGAGGCTCGAGGTGCCAGGGCGGGGGCAGGTCAGGATGGGAGCGGCGAGCGGTGTCGAGGCCGTGGCGAAGTGGCGGTTTGCGCCGAAGGGGAAAGACGCTGACTGGCTGCGTTTCGACAAGGGCGAGGTCATTACCAACATTACCTGTAAGTGCTGCCGCTGTGTCTTCTCTCTGCCGACTGCGTTACCGGAGCGAGCATCGTTGCTGATGTACCTGTCAGGGTCCTCCGAAGAGCACTGGTGCTGGTCTGGCAAGAACAACAAGGGCCAGTGGGGGTTGTTCCCGCAGATTTTTGTCGATTCGAACACGGTGCGGGAGCTCGGGCAGTCTGAACGGGCTGGAGACCGAAGGGGCTCGGCCGGGATGCTCGCGAGGCTGGCGATAAGAAAGGGATCGCTGCGGCCGTCAAGCTTCACGGGACCGTCACGGGGACTGTACTAGGCCGTGGGTGTGTCGAGGAAGTCTCGGTTTGATTTGCGCCCATTTTGACGGGCTACATATACATGAGCGGACAGGATGTTGTCGTTTGGCTGGCTGGTGGCGGCGTTGGGGGCATGTTTTGGCGGCTGTACTATACCCATGCATGACATTTGATATTGAAGATCACGTTAGACTTTTGTTTTTGACCAGCTAGCTGGGACGGTAAGGGTGGCAAGTTCCTCAACGGCGCTGGCTGAAGACCCTCCATCAGATGAACCTAGCGGGAGCTGCTGGCTGGCGGCTGGCGGCTGGCGGCTGACTGACTGACTGGCTGGCTGGCTGACTGGCATCAGGGGGTGAGCTGCCACACCTATACCGACGACACCGCGGTGAATCAATCGCCAGACCCCACACCGGGGATAGACCGGCCAGGAGGGGGGTTACCCCGCACGCCTTTCACCCGAGCCCTTCCCCCCTTCCCCCCTTGCCCCCCTAGCACTAGCACCCTCCCAGTGCATGTACCGTCGGCCGACGACGGTCTAATAGGGAGCGAGCGAAAGTCATCAGCCGTCTCCACACCTCCAAGGGAAGTAGTAGCGACCCAAGCGACCGCAAATGTCCCGTCGGGAATCGGCATTCTGGAGCATCGGCGCCTCGCCTGCACCTGCACCTGCACCTGCACCATCCATGGCGTCGATGCCGACCGTTTCTCTCTCCCCCCCCCCCATCATCCCATCTTGGTTTTCTTTTTGCCTCTTCGTCATCTCGGGCCTGCGGAAACAACAATTGTCGGGCGTTTGTCTTTTCCGTCTTGTCGACATTTATTTTTGTCCCAATTGCCATCATTCTGCTTGGTCACTGTTTTTGTCTTGTCTCTGCTGAAATCACAGTTGGGTTTGCCTGAGACGGTGACGAACGAGACGACTAGACGACTAGGCGACCAGACGACCAGATAGCTAGACGACCAGACGACCAGATAGCTAGACGACTGGGAGACCTTCGCCACAATGACTCTCACGTCGGGCCTCACAGGTGCCGAGATTGCCAAACACAACGATGCCGAGTCGTGCTGGGTCATTGTGCACGGCAAGGCCTACGATGTCACCGAGTTCCTGCCTGGTAAGCCTGTGTCCCCGCCATGCACCAACAGCAGCGGCCCTGACTGATGATGATGATGATGTCTCCAGAACACCCTGGCGGCCAGAAGATCATCCTGAAGTACGCCGGCAAGGATGCCACCGAGGAATACGAGCCCATCCACCCTCCCGACACCCTCGACAAGTACCTCGACAAGTCCAAGCACCTCGGCCCCGTCGACATGGCCTCTGTCGTCGTCGAGACCAAGGAGGAGGACCCCGACGAGGTGGCCCGCCAGGAGCGCTTCAACCAGCGTCCCCTGCTCGAGCAGTGCTACAACCTCATGGATTTCGAGGCTGTCGCGCGCCGTGTCATGAAGAAGACGGCCTGGGGCTACTACTCGTCTGCCGCCGACGACGAGATCACCCTGCGCGAGAACCACGCCGCCTTCCACCGCATCTGGTTCCGCCCACGCATCCTCGTCGACGTCGAACACGTCGACTTCTCCACGACCATGCTCGGCACCAAGGTCGACATGCCCTTTTACGTGACGGCCACGGCCCTCGGAAAGCTGGGCCATCCCGAGGGCGAGGTTCTCCTCACGAGGGCCGCCGCCAAGCACAACGTCATCCAGATGATCCCGACCCTCGCCTCGTGCGCCTTTGACGAGATGCTCGACGCCGCCGCCGCCGACCAGGTCCAGTGGCTGCAGCTGTACGTGAACAAGGACCGCGCCATCACGCGCAAGATTGTCGAGCACGCCGAGAAGCGCGGCTGCAAGGGCCTCTTCATCACCGTCGACGCCCCGCAGCTCGGCCGCCGCGAGAAGGACATGCGCAGCAAGTTCACCGACCCCGGCAGCAACGTGCAGTCCGGCCAGGCCACCGACACGAGCCAGGGCGCCGCGCGCGCCATCTCGACCTTTATCGACCCTGCCCTGTCGTGGAAGGACATCCCCTGGTTCCAGAGCATCACCACGATGCCCATCATCCTCAAGGGTGTCCAGCGCGTCGAGGACGTGCTGCGCGCCATCGAGGCCGGCGTCCAGGGCGTCGTGCTGTCGAACCACGGCGGCCGCCAGCTCGACTTTGCGCGCAGCGCCATTGAGGTCCTCGCCGAGACCATGGCCGTGCTGCGCGAGCAAGGGCTCGAGAACAGGATTGAGATCTTCATCGACGGCGGCGTCCGTCGCGCCACCGACATCATCAAGGCCCTGTGCCTCGGCGCCAAGGGCGTCGGCATCGGCCGCCCCTTCCTCTACGCCATGGCCGGCTACGGCTTTGAGGGCGTCGACCGCGCCATGCAGCTGCTGCGCGACGAGATGGAGATGAACATGCGTCTCATTGGGTGCACGAGCGTCGACCAGCTGAACCCCAGCCTCATCGACACGAGGAGTCTGTACGCCCACGGCAACGGCACGCCGGGCGACAACCTGGCCGGGGCTGTCTATGATCCTCTGGCGACGCCGGTGCAGAGGCCCAAGGCGCCCAAGTCATCGAAGCTCTAGGGGCAGGGGAGCGGCATGCAACTCACGTGGTTGCGTGATGATGTATCATAGGATGTATAGGTGCCTGAAATATGCCATTTTGCTTCGCAGTAAGGGTGGAGGGCGTTGCCTTGCCAGGAGGATTGATGCTGTCGTTCTGGGAGCCTTCGTACTGTGCCGTCGGCTCACGGCCACGGCCGAGCCAGTGATCTCGGAAAATGCGTCCGGTGAGCTGAGTCCATCCTTTTCGGCGCGGAGCACGTCTTGTATGCGTGCTCGCTCTCGTCAGACCTGTGGAGGGGGAGGATCTTCTGTCAGGCCATGGCATGGCGGTCACATGTCAGTCGTCAACAGCACCCGTCCAACTCGCACCGTCTACGCTGGCATCGTTGTCGAGGCACATGCATCTGCTGTCACGCAATGCCAGCTCCCTCAGCTTGTGTAAATCCCGCAGAAGAGCGACACGAGATGAGCCGTACGCAAGAAACCATCGGAATGTGACACGCACGGGGTTCATCTGCTTCCATTCTCAGATACGGGACATTCGGGTTCGGCCCTGGATCGTCCCCCCGCTCTCTATCTATCTAGCAACGCACAGCACGCGACAGCATCCCGCTCACCGCGCCGCAAGCTTCTGGCAAAACGGACTCCGCCGGCGGATGGCCGCGTCGAAGCGGACAAAGACAAAGGGCACGGCGTCGAGGGCCAGCGCGGCGAAGCCGAGCAGCGAGCACGCCCACGGCACGCCGAGCGCGGCGTACATGGGCGCCGCGGCGACGGGCAGGAAGGCGGCGGCCAGGGACCGCGTCGTGCTGGCGGCCGCGTGGGCCGAGGCCGAGAACTCGCGGTACGCGTCCGACAGGTGGTTCACCATGGCCACGAAGATGAGCATGTAGCCCGCGCCAAAGGGGAGGCCTGACAGCAGGGGCACCGCCGGGTGGACTGTGCGGGTCGAGGACCAGCCGAGCCAGAAGAGGCCGAGTGTGACGCTGTCGTGAGAGGGATCAGCATTTGTGGTGTTTCAAAGATGCCCGGCAAGATGCCTGGCAAGACAAGGGGAAAGAGGGACGAAGGATCAGAGGAGACGAACAGGGGCCCGCCTATGTAGGCCAGCGGCAGGCGGCGATGCGTTTCGTTGGACGCCCAGCGGGAGCCTCTGGCTTGGTATTTGGCGAGCTGGGCGTCGTAGATGAAGACGCCGGCGAGGGCCAGCAGGATACCGGCGAGGACTGCGGCGGCGCGTCAGCGTGTCGTGCGGACAGTCAGGAGTTGTCTGCTGGGTGGGTGAACGTACTCGGCAGGTAGCCCAGGCCGATCATGCCCGACGACAAGTCGTACACCCCTTGCGAGAATGGGACAATTAGCGACGAAGCCACTCTCAAAGGGCGGAACGGTCCAAGACCCATGGCACGTACCTTGGAAAATCACGGGATACGCCTGGAAGAACAGATAGAGGATGGAATACACCAGAGCAAGATACAGCGCAGTCCACAGCACAATCGGCTCCTTGACCATCATGACAGCCGGCCGCGTGAACACGATCCTCAGCTCCGCGGCGAGGCTCTTCTCCGACGACCCCGAAACGGCCTCCTCGTCGACGGCGTCGCCCGCGGCGCGCGCCCTCCGCTTCTCGAGCACAGGCGCAAACGTCTCAGGCAGCAGCAGCGGCAGCGGCAGGCCGACGCCGGCAATGGCAAAGCCGACCCAGAAGACGAGCTGCCACGAGTGGCCCTGTGCGAATCCGGACACGAGGGGGCCGAACAGCGGCCCGGCGACGGCGGCGCAGGTAAAGTAGGCCATGGCGCGGCCCCTCTCGCCCTGCTCCGGGTGGGCGTCGGCCAGCAGGCCGCCGACGGTGGCGTTGGGGGCCGAGGCCACAAAGCCCGTCAGGAAGCGAAAGGCCAGCAGCAGGGCGAAGCGGTCGCTCAGGGCGCACGCCATGGTGCAGAGCATGTAGCCGGCGTAGGCGTACAGGATGACGGGCCGCCGGCCAATGTGCTCGCTCAGGGGCCCGAAGAGGAGGGGCCCGATGGCGTAGCCGAGCATGTAGAGCGAGTTGAGCCAGACGAGCGGCCCGCGGGCGATGGCGAGGTCGACCTGGATGGCGGTTGCGGCGTTGGACGGGAGCGAGGAGCCGAGATTGCTGTTCCACGTCACCCACATTGCTGTTGTTGTGATGAAGAGCTTCTTGCGCTGGAGACGGTCAGCTGTACTGACTTTCGTCCTGGATCGTCGTGCTGACCTTGGAGAACGGTATCCCGCTTGGCGGCACATCGGATGCCTGGCTCTGCGCCATCGTCAGGCGTGTAATGTGATTTCTGGCACCTCAACCGATTGACTAGAGTAACTGAGTAGTAGGCTGAGACTGTTGTGAAGCTCAGGACGGGAGTTGAGACCGCAGACGGCGGAGACCGATGTCGGCATTTCCCGCGATAAGGCGCGGTGAACACGCCTTTTGGTGGTGTGGGTTGGCGATATCCACTTGACTGCATTGCGCAGATCCATCGTGCAACTCGATGAGCACGGCATGCGGCGACTCATGGCAGTCGTGAGGCAAGCGAGATGCGCAGGAGTTGTCGTCCTGCAGGTGATGTGCCTTGGGCTTTCTGTAACGCTGGTTGCGCAGGGAAAAGAAGATCTCGTCACCACCAGTAAGACAAGAGGGGGCTGGTTTCCCTGATGCTGCTGTTCACAATGTGTCATCGCTCGATGAAATTCTACGTCACTCTATGATCGTTTGATATTGAGTCTGCCGGCCAATGGTGCTCAATTTCAGCAAATACTGTGAAGCTGCTCAGCACGCAGTCGAATGGCTTTGAAAGTGTAAAAGGCTGGGCAGCGGCAAAGTGCTTCTGATCATGGTACTGCTTGGTGACAAAACCACCCTTTACAGAGGTATAACGAGCAACTGTTCGTGCCGAAGAAACACCAAGGTTGAAACCAAAAGTTTCTTATCTTGGAGCCTCAAGGGCCAGAAGAGGGTTGACAGAGAGACAGCCAGACACAAGTGGGCGTATGCTGTAGATGTCGAGTCAACCACCGGCACAACATGGTTCCCTTCCCTGCTTTATAGGTCGATTGGAAAGCACAAGACACGTGAGATTCAAAGAGATTGGCAGTCTCTCTTCCTGGCAGTTGAAAGCCATCAGCTCCAAGACATTGAGTTTCGGAAACCAGCCACCGCAGGCAAGACAATACAACCAAATACTGAACTGTCTCTCCTAGTAATTAACAATACCGACACTGCTAAAAGCCTGTGCCCAGGCGTTCGGTATGCAGAGTATATGAACTAATTGATCAGGACGTAGCGGAATCGCGGCTTGCCGGCCTCAAAATCAATAATGGCCTGGTTCGCATCGGACATGGGCCGCTTCTCCACCCACGGCTTGACGTCCTTGTCGACGGCCAGCTGCAGCATGTCTCGGATCTCGCTGGGCGAGCCGATGCCGGAGCCGGCAATACGGCGTCGCGCCCCCGTGAGGACACCGGGGCGAAACGGCAGCTCGCCCTCCGGAAGGCCGACCTGCACAAGCGTGCCGTCCAGCCTGAGGAGTCCGACGTATCCGGAAAAGGGCATCTACGGCTTGTTCAGCACTCGTCTACTTCCTGGTACAGCTGCTCGGAGCGAGCGCAGAGCGACAAACCTTGGCGGAAGACACGGTGCAGATGATGAGATCCAGCCTGCGCGCGTTCTTGGTCTCCCAGCCTTCGTCGTCGGCGGTGGCAATGTAATCCGTGCAGCCGAGGTCGAGAGCCTCCTGCTTCTTGCTGGCCTTGCGCGAGATGCCGACAATCTCGTCGGCGCCGAGGGCCTTGGCGAAGAGCACGGCAAAGTGGCCGAGGCCGCCGACGCCGACGATGCCGACACGCTTCCCGGGGCCGGCGCCAAAGTGCTTGAGCGGCGAGTAGACGGTGACACCGCCGCAGAGCAGGGGCGCGGCAAACTCGGGGGCCAGGCCGTCGGGGATCTTGAAGACAAAGTGCGCGGGGCAGCGGTGGTAGCGGGCGTAGCCGCCCTGGGTCTTGTCGCCGTTGCGGAACTTGGAGCCGTAGGTCGGGGCATTTCTCGTGCAGTAGTTTTCGCTGCCGTCGGCGCACTCGGCGCAGTCGTAGTCGGGGTCGTTGTTGAGGCACGACTCGGACTGGGCGCCGACGCCGACGACGTCGCCGACCTGGATGCCGCCCTCGGCTTTGGAACCGACGCGGACGGCGACGCCAACAATTTCATGGCCCACGACGACGGGGTACGGGGCTTGCCTCTGCAGGTGGGCGAGAAATGGGTCAGTCCTACGGTTCCAGTGTTGGCGCTCGCATCGCCATCGAGTAGGCTTACCCATCCAGAGCGAAGGACGTGAATGTCGGAGCCACAGATGCCGCAGTGGGTGATCCGAATGTCGACATCTGTCTCCTCCCACGTCTTGGGCTCGTACTTCTGCCAGACCATGTTGCCCTCGGCAGAGGACTCATCCTCCCCCATCCATCCTTCGAATTCGTAGTCGGTGGCCATGGGTGCGGAGAGGAAGAGGGGGGGGGGGCTGATGTGTGTAGCGTGCAGAACAAGCTGCTGGTATCAACAGCTCAAGTCTGCATCTTTATTACGGCGGTTTGGGCGAGCCTTTGGGTCGCAGGCGTGTCGAGGCGAATCAGCTCGAGAATGGGGGCACCGAGAGCTAGCTCTGACGGAGAGACGCCATGACGAAGCGTAGCCGGCGTAGGGTAGCAGACCAATGCCTTGGTGACGCAAGCGTGCTTCGTTTCCGTGATGGGCTGGCTCGACGTGGCCGACGGTGTTCGGGGCGGCATGGTACCATGGGATGAGTTTCCGTCGGAGGTGGACGGGCCTACCCACCCATGGTTTCCTTGGGCAGATTCCACACAAGATCGTGATGATTGGCGTGGTGTACATGCCATGGTATACATGCCATGGTAGGTAGGTAGAGCTCACAGCTTGGGCGGGGCTGCCGAGACAGGGAGGCAGGTGTCTTGCACCCGAAGGCACCGTGTCCCCCAAAGCCCGCTGTAGCGTAGCGCCCAGCCGGTGGATCGTAGCGCCCAGCCGATGGATCGTAGCCCTCGATCAAGCCCTGCGCCCTGGCCGTGGCCCTGAGCCCATTGGCCCGGAGAGCGTGAACCCCCCCCCCCGCCTAGCAGCCTCTGGGTCTGCTCAACAGAAGCCAGATGCCGGGGCTAGCGTCGAAGCTTACCCTGGCAAAACCTGCCGTCCAAAAGTCAGAAACCATCGCGACTGGTTCCCTACGCCTTGTGCCAACTTGTTCCAACTTGTTCCAGGTCATGATCCGTCGGAACGGGACTAGATGGAGGCGCCGCAGATGCCGTGGTCGCCCTATCGTATCGCATCGTACCCATCGAAACGGCCAGCTTCCAGGGTAAGCCTTCACCGGCCGGAGAGCAGAAGACGACAACGACCCCGCAGTGCGTCAACGTCACCCACCCACATGTCCCCCACAGAGAGTAGGCTCGGATGTTGTTCCCAGCGCGGTTTTGCTTCTGCTGGACAAATGGGCATGAGGGTAAGTAGGTAGGCCAGGTTGGTATGTATATAAAGCTCTCTCTGAACCCTCCTGTTTCTCGCCATGAGGCACGCAACTTGATACAGACAATTTGACCGCCAACAGAGCAACTCGAACACCATTCCTCCCCCTCCCCCCCACCGCCCATCATGTCCAACGACCGCAAGCCCGTCGCCGACCAGGCCGAGGACGACGCCTGGTTCCCCTCCCCATACTCGCTGACGCAGTACGTCGCCCCCAAGACGGACTTTGCCGAGGGCGACGCCGACTACGCGGCCACGGCCTACAAGGGCGGCAAGTGGAAGGTGCTCCTCATCGCGACGCAGGAGCGCTACCTCAAGATGGCCGACGGCTCGTTCTTCTCGACGGGCAACCACCCGGTCGAGATGCTGCTGCCGATGCTGCACATGGACGCCGCCGGCTTCGACATTGACATTGCCACGCTGTCGGGCGAGCCGGTCAAGTTTGAGATGTGGGCGTTCCCCAAGGAGGACAAGGCCGTCAAGGCCATCTACGACAAGTACCGCGACAAGATCCGCAACCCGCTCAACCTGCAGGAGGTCTGGGGCCGGGGCTTCACCGACGCGACGCCGTACCTCGCCGTCTTCATCCCCGGCGGCCACGGCGTGCTCAACGGCGTGCCCTTCTCGGCGACGGTTGGCGACGTACTGCGCTGGGCCCACGCCCACGAGCGCTTCTTCGTGACGCTGTGCCACGGGCCCGCGAGCATGCTCGCCGCCGACGTCGGCAAGCCCGCCGGGTCCAAGTACATCTACGAGGGCTACAAGGTCGACGTGTTCCCCGACGCGCTCGACCAGGGCGCCAACATTGACATTGGCTACATCCCCGGCAAGATGGAGTGGCTCGTCGGCGAGCGCCTGCGCGCCCTCGGCGTCGAGCCCATCAACAGCCAGATCACGGGCGAGGTCCACCGCGACCGTCTGCTGCTGACGGGCGACTCGCCGCTGGCGTCGAACAACCTCGGCAAGCTGGCGGCCAAGACGCTGCTCGAGGCTGTGGCGAACAAGTAGGCAGCGGGATGCAAGAAAGGGATGATCGAGTGGGAAGAATAGATGAAAGAAAAAAGAACAAGCTCCACATGAGGACATTGTACTACTTCCTTCAGAATGGCCCTCCGCGTGTCCCGCGTTGAACAGTATTCCTGACCCTGACCCTGACAAAGTGATGAACAGTATTCCCTGACCCTGACCCTGACCCTGACCCTGGCAAAGTGATGCTGAAGCTCTGCATCAAAGGAAGGGTAGCCATATGTCCCTATGTCCTACTTGCCTGCCGGCCGTTCCCAACCTTTCAACGAAGCTCCATTTGGAGCATCGAGAAGGAGCGGGGGACTGGGGGCAGCTCCTTCCCTGTCGGTGAGACGCTACAGGCATCGGGCATCCTTGCCCAGCGGAAGGTAGCGCCGAACCTTAACTGCGGGCCCCTCCTGCCCAGATGGCGCTAACCAGAGCCCGGCCGCCGTGACGCCAGCTGTGGGTGGGTGGGTCAATCGAGCTCCCCATCCCTTGTCCCCCCAAGCTCTCCCCTCGATACCCTTCCGATGGAGCCTCCGATGGAACCCAACACTTTCCTGGCAAGGACGACGACCCTGGAGATGATCTCCCCTCGGAAGCGTCACAAAGTCTCATCGGCTTGCAAGAGGTGTCGCGAAAGGAAACTCGGCGTACGTTGGTCCTTCTCCTCCAGCCTTCAACATGCTGCGGACTGACAAAACTATCATTCCAGTGTGATGCCTACAGACCCTGTCAACTCTGTACCCGTGCTGGCGTCGAGTGCATCCCTCGTGCCGGAGCCATTGACGCACCCACAGCGGCAGGAAGCCATGTTGCACGGTCTCACAGTCGCCATGTTCTTCCACCCCAGCTCGAGACCCCCTCGCCGGCTGTCCTCCCCGAATCAAACATTGTCGATCTCAGCACACTTGTATGGTAGTCATTTGAACATAGCAGATCGGGCATTGCTGAAAATCACGACCAGATCTTTCGAGGCAACGGACCCTCTGTGAACCACGACAGTTCTGCCCTGCCCGGCGGCAGCAAGCTGGACGAGGCTGCCGTGACCGCGGGTGCCAGACAGTGGCGAAACCTGGCCGGAGTGGCACTGCCCTCAGATGAAGTCCTCGAGGATCTCGTGGGGCACTTCTTCCTCTCCGTCGACTGGTTCATGATGGTCTTTCACGAAGATGCCTTTAGACGCCGCTTCCGAGACCTACTGCGTCAGGACCAGATCGCCTACCGCGACAGCAACTTTCGCTGGCTCTGTCTCCTTGTCGTGGCACTAGGCGCCCATTATGCGGCCCCTCAAACTGCCCACAGCCTCTATGGGCAGCTGTCCCGGGATCTCATAGCCGTCGTCGAGGCTCGCTTCCTCCAGATCCTCAATTGTTCCACGCTCGAGACTGTGCAGATATGCATCTTGCTTGGGAGCTTCTTCCTGTTCAATGAGAGACCAAATACGGGCCTCGGAATATCGGGGAGCGGCGTCAAGATCGCCCAGGTCATCGGTTTGCACCGTGAAAGTCTTTGGAAGGCGACATCCGATATCGTGCGCGAGGAGCGACGACGGACATGGTGGACGCTGGAAGTGTTCGACAAGTAAGCTTTTCTCTGCTGGGACTGTGCATCTGAAGCCAGGCATCGTCGACTTTCCCCATGTCCCCCCTTTCTGACACGGCACCAGGTATGCGGCTGTTTCCTTTGGTCGCCCCTGCATCATTGATGACTCGGATTGCGATGTTGGCATGGTGTCTCACAGGCCCCAGGAAGCAGAAAACCCTCTGCTTCTGTATCACACGTGGAAGTTCCGCCTGTACAGGATCATGGGCGCATTCCTGGGGCGGCGGGGACGGAGCAAGAGCCTCAATACGGTCCAGAGTATTCACACCAAGATGCTGCAGTGGCGCAATGAGCTGCCACAAGAGCTTCGATTGGCAAGCTACGCAGCTCAAGATGGACAGTCTTCGTTAATTCAGTTGCAGGCGCTCAATCTGCAGCTGACGTATGATAACCTACAAATCAAACTACATCGCACGGCCGCCTTTGAGAACGATGGGCAGATGAACGAGCTGAGGATGACAGAAGGAGGAAGCACATCTCTCCAGCAGCTGTTGGACTCAGCCATGGATACCTCTGAGCTCTATCGGTACTCGTCTGCCCTGCAGGCATCCGGACGCACCCACGCCGCCATGCACATTGGCATCACCCTCTTTACCGCCGGCGTCGTCCTCTGCGCCATCTGCCTGTCCCGTCCGCTGACAGATACGGGCAATCGGGCCAAGACTGGCGTCATGCACATCATACGCATGTGTCGTAGCGCTGCGGACTCGCCAACCTCCAGCCAGCATCTGGTCTCCAGACAGAGCCTCGACATCCTGGACAGTCTCGTCACGGTAGTTTTACGTCGGGAAACGGAGCTCATCACAGGGAGAATCAGTCTTCCTGCGAACAAGCCAACGTCTTTTGCTTCCCCCGTGGGGACAGGATCCGCGACTGCGCCAGTCAATTCAAACCCACATTCGATTCCAGATCGAGGCGGAGGCTTGCTCCACCCTATTCAAGAAGGTGAGACCAAGTCAAGCACTGATGATGCATTGAAACTGATAGTCGTCAAGTCTTTACGCAACATATCTCTGGATCAGCGAGCCGTCCTCCTTCGCCTGTCCCCCTCCTGCAACAGCTCAGCTTCTCGACGGGAGCGCCTGTTCTCAATGGTCCTGCCGAGCCGGTCACGACGTTTGACTGGGATGGCGATCTTTCGGTCTTGGTGGATCAGGGGCTTGCTGATGCGAGTCAAGTCTGGCTGTGGGCAGATCATCTGGGCTACGAGACGTTTAATGATCAGAATAATAGATAGGCGGGGGGCACAGGTTCATACTAACAGTCTTGTGCGGTGATTCTGTTCCGACATGAGATAAGCATTTGACGATGTGCCGAACTTGTGTATAAGAGTGCTGACCTCCTCCATTTCACGTCGAAACAAAAAGATCTATCTTACAAAGTGTTGATATGGCATATATTCCGGGTCAGTCCGAGCAATTGAGTTAGTTGAGGTCAAATTTCTCAGTATTAGTTAACTTTCGAGCCCTCCATTGCAGAGGACCATCAAAGGACGAAAGACACTAATTCCTCGAGGCAACAACAGCAATTAGTAATTCCACGCGTACAGATCACACGATTGGGTCAGAAGTTATGATCAGCACCAACTATTATTTCACCGAACCGTCTATCTAAGCACCAGAGAGCTCTATACTCTGAGGGCCCTAGTCTTTAAGTCACACAACCAATACTGTCTCGCCAAGAAGTGAAGTTTTTGTGTCCAGATGCAACCGTCGCCGGTTTGCTGAATGTGCCGATTGTACTGATACAATGTACCGCTTAGCCGATGACGGCAGTGCAGAGGAGGCTCTGGCCGGCGACGGGGACGCTGCAGCAGAGAGCAGACTTGCCGGCCTCGGCGCAGATGGCCTTGAGATCGGCGCCGTCGGAGGGAGTGCGGCTGGCTGTCGTGGGGGAGAAGACGGGAGGTTAGCTCGTTGAGTTCGTGAAGAGATCCGCGTGGCAGCGGCCTCTGCGGCGACAGAGGCCGGCGCGGAACAAGTGTCACACTTACGGACGGAGCAGTCCAGGCTGGCGACGCCGAGGACGTCGGTAGCGCAGCACTGGGGGCTGCCGTTGAGGAGGCCCGAAGGGCAAACGCTGGCGCGGGCGGCGAGGGTGGCGGGGGCGGCCATGGCGACCGAGGCGAAGAGAGCGGCGACGATGGTGAACTGCATTTTGAAGTTGGTTGGGTTGGGATGGTTGGTTGTGGTGGTGGTGTAGAGGTTGGTAGGAAAGGTCTGTTGAGTGTTGAGTGAAGGAATGTGAGCTGAGGACGAGAATCAAAACCTAAACCGAGCCCGATTGTCTGCTTCTTATATACTCAATCGTCACGGCCAGGAGGCAGCCTCTCAACCTCCTGAAGGGAGGTTGCTAGATTATTGAGACAGCGAGCAAGACCTTTTGCTATGTCTCGGCTTGGAAGTTGAGAAATATTGCTTTTCGTCATGGACAAGATGGTGGGCCAAACTCTTCTCCCTGCTCAAGGAGACGCTGGGCAAGACACCCAGCAATTTTTTGCCGCCTGTACTCATACTATGCCTCTCTCATTGATACTATCAAGGTCATTGACTATCATTCATCTTGTAGCAGCACTTCGGTATCGAGTATAGCCTGGATGTTTCGTGTTCCTAACGACTTGAATGTAGCAAACTTAGGGAAACGTCCTGATCCCACCAGCACAACACAAGCTTGGCAAACGCGGCCCTACCACAGACAACCTCTGATCAAGACGGGAAAAGAACCGTGACAAGAAATCACAACATCAACCACGTCCGCTGGCAACATTGCTGAATCGCGTGTTGGACGCCGCGGCCTTCGCCCCCCGCTGGTCTCGGCCGGCCCCTTAAATGGGGGTCCCGGGCTGAGACAGCCTGACAGAGCGACGCCAGACAACGGAGGCGACAGCGTCCCAATGCGGTCTCCCATTTGGCCGATCTCAGAGTCCGTTCGCTGAAAAAGGAGAGCCCCCCCTCCTCCCTGGTGCACATCATTCAATCTTACCCGCAGCCCGCCCTAGCCGCTTTAGATCGCTCGTCCTCAATGTCTCTTGCTCGAACCCGGCCACCGCTTGGTGCATGAGAGCCGCCGCGATCGTCTCCACATCAATGTTCGGGATCACAACCGTGACGCTGAGCGCTGCCGCGGCGGCCGAGCTCACGGCGGTGGAGTAGCTGGTGATGAAACCAGGTTTGGCGACGCAGGCCTCGAAGCCTTCGTGTTGGTCCGCGAACCGCAGCACTTGGTTCTCGGTCTCACCCTGCCAAGGGATGTCGTCAGCACAGGACTCTTGGGAATTGGATCGGCAGACGACGCTCCAGGGACGCTTCATGGGTGAGATCGACATGCCCTCATCCGACGGTACTCTGCCATGACCCAGAGCGGCTTGGACTGGTTTCTTTCGGCGACCGCTCCGCTCATGTAGAGGAACCGAAAAGGCCGCGCAGGCTCGGAACTCCAGATCGCCTGCAACCCCGCCAAGGTGTACTCGTGGCATACTTTGCGGACGTCCTCAGGGCTCATTCCTTTGGTCTTCGCCGGCGTCACCGCAACGGTCCTGTAGCAGCGCGAAGGAGCCGATCAGCAACGAGGCATAAGTTCGAGATCTGGAAGGGGTAGACCACCGCATCTCTCGGGCATTTCGTGAACTCACCAGATGCACGCATTTGCGCCCGAAAACGCCTCCAAAGCGTCCTCTGGGTAGTCATCGTAGTTTGGCACCACCACCGACCTAAACTTCGATGCAGGTGTGCCATCGGGCACTGACACAGGCCTGCGAGCCACGGCGACGACTGTGGTGATCTTGGGATTCTGAAGACATTGGCGAATGATCTCCGAGCCGACAAAGCCACTGGCACCGGTCACGATGATCTTCATCGTCGTTGAACTGCCTTGAGTGCGGCGAACTGTCCTGCTTATTCTGCGCGAGCCCGGCGGCGGTGAGCGGGGGGAAAGATGATCATGTTCGCGGCAAGTAAGCACTACCTCAGGCCGCAATGCTTTGTTTGAGGTGTGTTACATCTCGGACTTAAGGAGATAGGTTGGATCCCACGTTACGGTCATGCTCGACAGCTTCAGAGGGCTTTAGGCTAATGCTAAAAAAAAACAGATAGCCAAATCCTTCGTCGGAACAGGCACGGTCTACACACATGGTTCCCTAGCCGAGACCCTGGGTGGCTCTGCTGGCTATAGAACGGGCGAGCACCTTATGATTAGGAATATTGCAATGAAGTAGTCTAGCTGTTGAGGCGTGTGTATAAATCGAAGGCGAGATATCAAGAATGCGCCTGGGTCAAAGTGCTGGGCCCTGCTCTACCCTACTAGACACATCTCCAGCTCTCAGGCTTCTTGTAATCGCCACCTTTGAATGTCTGCTGCCTAGGCCAGGCGCAGTGGTCGCGCTGGAAGTCAACACCCTTGGCCGGCGCATCATCCACAAACTTGGTCCCTCGTAGCACCTCGGGCGCCCGGCCCTCTTCTACCCAGGCGACCGCCGCCGCCAGCACATTGCTCTCGGCGTTGAAACCGACACCCGCCGCGGCAGCGTTGCCGCCCTGGCCGAGGACCCAGGCTCCCGGCCCCGTATTGCAGTGGAACATCCCCGAGATGGGAAAGTACCGGTGGAAGTCGCCCAGCCGGCCGTCGCCGCGGGCCATGCGTTCGACAAAGCGCTCGGTGTTGAACTGTGTGAGCTGCTGGTCCTGGCCGCCGTGGTACGTGATGAGCTTTCCACCGCGGGCCCTGAAGCCGGGGAGGGTGCGGGGATAGGTTCGGATGTTGAACGGGTTCATGGCCTCGGCCGTGCGGACAAGATCCGAGGTGTAGTCTTCGGGTTGCCAAGCGGGGTCGCTGAGGACCACGTAGCGAAACCATTCCTGATTTTTTTGGTCAACCGGGTACGCGTTAAAGTGCCATCACCATGAAGGGCAATCAGAGTCGGAGGGGGTACGTACAACTGAGTTGGTGAACGGCAGGCCAGATAAGAGTCGATCTACGGCTCTCTTCTCCGCTCCCGGGTTCAGGCGTGGGAAAATGGGCTCTCCATCGGGGAACTCGTAAGGTGCGTAGATCTTCTCGAGCTGCTGGACTTGGGCTTCGTTCAGACACCCCTGGACCTCTGACGCTTTGCACAACAGAGCCTGCGGGTCAAAGTGGCATTTATTTGGGACCTCGATAATGCCATCCGCGACGCCGTCGATCTCATCACATTGTCGGAGGACCTCATCATGGATGAGACCTGTCCATGTATCGGCAGAGATGAAATCCTGGGAGCCGACGGCGCCAGTCACGGTGTAGAAAAAGGCTCGCGCGCCTTGGAGCTTGTTAAAGTCAACGGTCGGCGCACCGGCGACGATGCCATCGTAGTCCTCGGGGAAGAACTCTGCAGCTTTGATACCCATGCGGCCGCCCAGGGAGCATCCGATGAAGTACGAATGGTCAGGTTTCTTGTCGTACAAAGCCTTTATGATTTTCTTGGCAGATTTGGTGCCAGTATGAAGCCTGGGGCTCGTCAATACCAGGAGAAGCCCAATGAAGACGAGACACTCACGCTCGATAGGAAAAGTCCTCGACAATGTCGGGATTGTTCAGCATCGTCACGGCGGTTGTGCCATTATGGCCGTTGTTAGTCCCCATGGTTGCAAAACCGTTAGCGGCGCCGTACGCCAGGTCCTCATACTTGATGCCTGGCGTCTCGTCAGTTCGTCATGGTAGATCGTGAATTGGGGAGAGTAGGTTTTAGTACAGCCGTCGACACCACCGTTTCCCGTCGCAAGATACCGCGCGCCCTTCCATTCCCTAGGAAGCCACAGCTCAAAGCTGATGCTCGAGCGCTGAGAGGTCGGAATCTGGAGACCGACGCGGCAAAGATCGACCTCGACCTTTTGCGTGGGACGATTGCAAGACGGGACATTGTCATTGAGGGATACGGTCGTGCCCTGAGCTACGAACTCGAGTCTCGCCAGGGTCGAGTTCCTGATGAGCGCTGCAGGGTTCAGCGACAAGCAGTCCTGTCGAAAGGCGTCATCACCCTCGGTTTCGCATTCCACCACGCGTGCAATGGTCGCGAGAGCCCAGATGAGGAGGGGACTAAACAACATGATGCGCTGCTGTCGTATGTGCTTGGTTTGGCTGCGTCGCTGAAGCTCCGAGGCCGGCCGGTACGCCACTGCTGGTAGAGATCATGGCCCTGCCGAGAAGTGGAAGGATCTCGTCTCATTTTATCATGTCGGTCTCATCCCCGTGCGGGGCGGTGTAAGTCTGTACTGTAGATCGCTTCCACCAGGGATCGAGTCGGCACCGAGACCCCGCATTCAAACGTCCAATTAAAGTCAGTAGATAGAGCCCAAGTGACGTGGAATTTCGCGGTCAACTTTGATCCATATTGCAAGATGCCGGAGGCTCCGAAAGCACCTTGTTCCTGGCGACTTGGCCCCTGTTCGTCATGAATCAGGAATGACCTCAATGGCTGTTCATGAAATCCAGAAACACGCTGCCCAACAGATCGGGCAGACGTGTCTGCCGACGAGGCCACCATTTGCTGGTACTCGAATATAATCATCTGCTAGCAGATACTGGCGTCACCTGTCTCGTACAGAACGATGAAAAGCTGCATGCCTTCTGGCATCAGGTGTGGAGGGAAGCCTTCATGCTCCTCAGAACTATAGCACCCAAGATTATATCCCGTGAGCTCCATATTCGTGACCCTCGAGTGGCCATTGCAACAAGATGAGCTGGTCGACGCCCCTGAATAGCAACAGGGCCAAGCAATGAGATCAGTCGCCAATCGAAAAGACTTCCACCGTATTTGTTGCAGCCCGAAGCAATGTCAGCCACCTCCCATCTCTCGAGAGCCTACACGTATCCTCCGAGCCGATAGTAATCACCATCGTGTCAGAAGAGGCATGAGCCCAGGGTTTCCGTGTCGCCCTGATGCCACGCCAGTCTCGGCAGCACGAATCGCGTCAAGGTCACCGTCTGCCCCGGTGGCAGGAATGTCTTTGTCCGCTCGAGCCTCGCCCAAGCTCCCGAAACTTCGTCAAAGGCCAGCTCGGCCCCACATGGCCGGAGCATGCCCGACTGCCATCTCTGGAAAAAGGTCCGCTCGGCAGAGACGAGTGCCATATGCTCGCCTGTCATAGCATTCATAATGCGCATGTTGCATGTGATGTCGACTGTTTCCGTGAAAGAGACCAACCAAGTTGTGGCATTCAAGTGATGAAAATAAAATGTGACGTCCAATGGGTCTTCACTCAAGAGGTTCCATGAGACCAAGGAGCTCGGGAACCGAAAGTCGCGAATGAAGTCACTGCTGATACAGCTATAGATGCGTGTCAATCCTGGAAAGGTCGATTCCGCGGACGAATTGGCGTTTCGGGAGACACGTCCCTCGCAGACAATGATGTGCTCGTCATCCGGTTAAACTCAGAGTCATGGCGGCTCCACGCTGGATCTTGGCCATGGGAACCAGGTTGGGAGGGTAGGGTATCCAATAGAGCTAGCGCCCTTGTTGTTGGCAGCGTCGATGTGAACGACCTTGATATAACTCGGACTGGAAGGTTCAAGGTCCATTGGAAAAGCGGCACCTTGGTGTTGTCGTTGAACACATGAGACACGACGCCGTCCCTGTTTGACATGGCTCTCTTATTGACGATGCCTCAGTCGTTTGCGTCAAGGATTAAAAGCGCTGGGGCATAGTGCGCGAGGCAGTTATGTGCGCATATCAGGCTGTCGTCCAGGGAAGGCCGCATGAACTGAGTAAACTCGACAGCGGTCTCATTCGGATTGAGAAGCTGTCGGGAACTTCCGTCAAGAATCCAGATGCGTGAGTCCGACGCCAGATCCTATGTGTCAAGCGTGGTCTTTGTCGTCATTACCAGTCTCTCTCCGAAAATGCTCTCGTAGCAGTGAGTTGCCAGGACGCCCTCTGGTTGAATTGAATCGGTGCCATTGATATACTTGTAACCTTTGTGAGGTTGAGACCACGCCGACTCGGCCCCGCCTCGAAGGTGCCTGGCCTTCTGCTCTGTCTTGGTCTTTTCACTTCGGGGAGGACATCTTCGCTCTTTTTTCCTCTCTGAGGCTTCTCATCTTTGAAGGAATAAATGCTGCTCTGTGTTCCTGTAACTGACTGTGGTGAATATATTTGTATGACTTCGGTGTAGGATGGCGGATATTTTGGCAAGAGATCGTTGGGAATCGCCACTACGGGTGCTATGATAAGAAGGCCTCGCATCCGAGCTACATTCAATAATATCTCCATCTTATTCAACCCGCCAGGACCAGACCCGTCACTGGTGCGCGGGGGCCCCCCAGCGCCCAATAGATGTGGGGAAGACCTATACGGCATCAGTCGTAAGAATGCTGCTTAGAAATTGTGTCCAAATACAGCGTGCATATATCCAAGACGATGTCGAGTTCGCCTTGGCAGACTTTCAATCATAGTAGAACCTCCGATTCCGATGGATCAAACATACCATATCGGCGTTGCGTCAGCTCCAGAAGGCCTGGCTCGCTGGTGAGCAGAGTATTTCTCGTCTTGTCGACGATGAGAGCTGGTCAGCTTAGGGGACCATCCAGCCCCAGGCAGCGCATATTGTCCTGGTCTCCTTATCGACTGACGTTCGCGCGCAGTGAGCTGAGCAACTCGGATTTTTGGCTTCGGTCAGCTCTCTGGGAGTCATTGTCGATAGTATTGACAGTGAGCAGATGCTCCACTGCTTTGATCTGATCCAGGACTCGCCTGCATGAGGCCGCTATCGTCAATGGGCGGTCAATTATGAGAGTCTCTTTGACATTGCCTTTGGGCAGCCCATCGGTGCTTCAAGCGACAACCAAAGTTGAGGACCATGCTGTCGAATCGCTCGCTCTTTGTTCCGAAGTTATGAGAGGGTAGACGAAAGTAGTAATAGCCCGTGATCAGCAGGGTGAGAGATCCTTCTACAAGGGTTGAGTCCACGCTTCAGAAGATAGAGACGAAAGAGGGTCAGTCATTGGAGTGTACAGGCTCCTGAGCTGGATACCCGAGGCATACCTATTGGCACCACTCCACAGCGCGAGGCTCTCGTGGGCACGTTGGTGGCGGAGCCTTTCCTGGGCAGCTTCAAGATGCCGACGTTGCCGATTGATCGTCCACCTGTCCTTCACCAATATAACCTCAAGATCTCCTTTTAAACCTCGAGTTCAGACTGGCTGGCCCCCAGCCCGACCTGTGCCCATAGCCATGTCCATGCTCCTCCCAGCGCCGGCGCCAGCGCCCCTCCAAGACCCGCCAAAGTGAATGACCACCAGGATGAGGCATCCACTGAAGAACACCATGGCGGACGAGATACTCACAGTCCAACCGACACCAATCGCGTCGATCATGGGCACGACGGTAGCCGTTGCTAGCGCCGAGAAGCAGTATCTCACCATGTAATGACTCGCTGTTGTTCGAACGACGAACGAAAGTCAGTCTGCCTGGCATCCATAACGCACACCACGGGAAGAACACACCTGAGGCTTTCCCACTTTGATCCTGCATGATGTCGAGGATGTATGCATTCAAGCTCGGGAATGTCGTGGTCTGGCACACCCCCTGACCGAATAGGCAGACGACAGGCAACGCGATACCGCCCCAGCCCTCCTGAACCGCCCAGCCGTAGAGGAGTGTGAAACCCGGTAAGAGTCCGAGCATGAAAAAGAGCGTGCTGCGTAGACGGTCCTCCCACAACCGGAAGCCGCGTCGATGCATCCACGACTTGACATTGTGATCGGACCAGCGGCCGCCGAGTGTTGTGCCTACTAGATAGCCCGCTCCCGGGGCCAAGTAGATCAGACCCGACTGCAGGGGGGTCGTGAGCCCGAGCCTGGGGTTGAGGATGTAACGGATCGGGGTCAAGAGGGAGTACATGTTGAACCCAATGGCCGAAGATGCGAAGACCTAGATGCGTTGGCCGTCAACCTACTTGTTCTTTTGGGTTTGGCTCTCAATAACGCTGCCTTCCCAATCAAGCACAAGACTCACCGCACAGAAGAGGTTTCCATGACCAAGAAGCTTAAATACGGTCGAGGGATTGGACCATTGCCACAATTTCTTCGCTGCGGCACCAGGCTTTTGCCCCTTGAGCTCTGCGTGCCGCGTTTGCAACAGGGTTTCCTGCAGCATAAACGCTACAAGCAGAAAGGCCACGCCGCTTAGACCAGATTGCACCCAAAAGATAACGCGCCATGAAGTGAAAGTAACGATGATGCCACCGAGGATGGGGCCAAAGGCGGGACCAAAGGCGACCCCTCGGAGGAACCATCCCATGGCTGTCGCGCGTTCCGTCTACATTCGATCAGATTCATGTCATCGAAACCTGTGCGTCACTTGACTGACCGGATGGAAAACATCAGAGATGCAGCTCGATGCAAGCACGAGGAACGCCGTAGATTGCGCGGCCGTCAATGACCTGAAGAAGAAGAAGGCAGGCAGACTCGGCGACAGTGCCGTACCAATCGAAGAGGCGAAGAACAGCAGGGTACTCAGAATGTAAGCCTGGCAGTGTTAGCCGCCTGTTTAAGACCAGTCTTCTGCATAGCTCAACCCTACGCACCGTTCTTCGCCCAAAGACGTCCGACAACGGGCCCCAGAAACAGGCGGCCAACCCCATGACGACGAGATAGATGGCATTGCTGATGTTGATGGCTGTTGGTGTCGTGCCGAAAGTAGACGTGATCTCTGGAACAGCAGCAAAGACGCTGGTCGTGGACATGGAAGCTAAAAGCCCGCCAATAGCCGTGGTGTAAGTCGTCGAGCGTTTCTGTGTTTTGCTGAAGCGGGAGTAAACCGACGGGAAAGTCCGACTTGCCGCGGTGTCTGGCCTGGCAAGCGACAGCCTTTGACCGCCCGTCGATGTATTCCGCGCCTCTAGGGACACGGTAGACACCGTTTGTGTTGTGGATGTTATTGTTGCCATGGTTGAAAAGTCTTTAAAGTGATGATTAAAGGTTCAAGATTAGGCAAGAGAGATCGGTAGTTTATGTTGCCATTTCGATATTCCAAGTTGACCTCCGATTCGGACGTGATAATACGGCGAAAGCCGCTTTCGCCGACGCAGACCCACGTTGTGGGTGAGCTAACTCATTCTCGCGGGGTTTGATTCCTGTTCCGGCAATCATAGCCTAAGCTGCAACTCGGCTGCAGAGTTGGGAGAAGACCCGGACGGTCGATCGCAACATTGGCGAGTGGGGAAATAAAGTTTTAAGTTCCCCGTTCGCTGGGTAAGTTGCTGTACGTTTAAGGTGCCGGTGCCTCGAAAGCTTGTTAGAATTTCTTCCAGTGATGCATCATTCGAACGTTGTACTACCTATGTGCCTTGACAATATGCCAGGGAACCACAATTAGACACGATGAGCGTAGAAATGCTCGTTTGCTGTGTTGGGGGCACGAAGGCTCGTCTCCCCCCCCCCCCCCCCCCCCTAACCGACGGGACAAGCTGACAAACAAAGATCACTGAATCCTTCTTTGAGGGAATCAATGCTACGCTGACATGGCTTTGGTCCCAGGCTGAACGGGCGCGCAGTCGCGCAGTCGCGAGAGGTAATTTGATTCGACCTACGATCGTGAGTAGATAGATGATCAGCACTAGCAGAACATGCTCCACTTTGAACAAATCTATCCTCTACATCAGCGCACCAGGCTTGGCGGCAGCCTTGTGCATAGACTCCGATTGCCCAGAACTCTGTTCGACAAATCATCGCCGTGGGGTTGTCGGCGATGGTTGCTAGAGCAGGGGTCATCTGCGCAGGATTCAGGAGGTGCTGCACCTTCGCACCATGTGCAATGCTGCTTACCAACATGGACAACGAGGAAATCTTGGCTGTCTGGACAACAGCCATGACTATAAATGGAGATCGTCGACCGTTCCTGGAGACGAACTGGCTGGAGAAAGTCATCAAAGAACGTCTGTCAAACGCCATCCTCTCACCATTACCATGTCAACAACGTATCTCATCACAGGCACAACCCGCGGTATTGGCCATGCCATAGTCCGCGCCCTCCTTCTGCGTCCCTCGACGACTGTCATCGCTAGCGTCCGTGATCCGGCCCATGCGGCGGCGCAGGCCCTCACGTTGCTCCCCAGATGCGACTCGTCAAGACTGGTTGTCCTGGCCCTCGACGCTGCCGACCTCGCAGCGCCCTTCCAAGCCGTAGCAACGCTGCAGTCCGAGCACGGCATCAAGGTACTTGACGTGGTCATTGCCAATGCTGCGGCCGGTGAATCAGGCAACACCATTCTGCAGACGGACCTCGAGTCCGTGGGCCACCACGTCGCGATCAACACGACGGCGCCGTTGGCTCTGTTGCAGGCCACGGCGCCGCTCCTCCGAAAGTCGGCAAACCCCAAGTTCATCGGCATCGGCTCAGAGCTGGGCTCGGTCGCCAGAATTGAGGGCATGGTGGCGTCGCCGTGGCCTCGCACGACGAGCCCCTACGGCCTCACCAAGGCAGCGCTCAACTGGGTCGTGCGAACGGCGCACTTTGAAGAGCCGTGGCTCACAGCGGTCGTGGTGACACCGGGCCTGGTCAAGACGGACATGGCGGCGGTTGCGGTCAAGGACAGCGGCATAGGTCTCGATGCGCTGGGCGCTATCACGACGGAAGAGAGTGCCGAGGGGGTGTTGAAGGCGGTAGACCGGGCGTCGAGGGACGGGCCAGGGTTTTTGAAGTATGACGGAGGAGAGGTGCCATGGTAGATCAGCCATGGGGACAATGGTGAGGGCGGGTTGGGTTGCTGATGATGATGCTTATGGTCGTGATGCTGAAGGAAGGCGGAGAGACATGGAGGAACCTGGTCGTCGAGGTGATGAAGGACAAAGACGAACAGATAAAGAGGGGTTCACGGCGAGGAAGGCAGGAAGCCCCGGGCCCGGGTGGGGCCGACTTGCCTGGCGCGTGACTTTGGTGGATTCAGTGGATTCAGTGGATTCGGAGGAATGAAGCCAGGGAGCTGGTGCCGGGGTTGTTCTTGCAGCTGCAGACAATGACGCACATTCCTGCCCCACCTCACGTGCGCAACACAACGGGCTCCTCAGCTGACTCATCCGGAGCGTCTCCTCCAGAATGCAGATGCCCTGTGCCATGCTGTAAGCTCACCTGCCTCCGCTGTAAGCTTAGGCAGTTGCCTACCTACCCACTTAGTAGCTTGCCTACGTATTTTACCTAGGCAGGTACCGCACTCGCCGTAGTTCCCTCGGCCTTGCCTCTGCTCTGACCCTCCCTGTCGATGAGGCCTTGCGAGGCCTTCCCTGTTCATGTGTTCGTGTGTTCGTGATCTCAACACGGACTGGCATGCGTCCCGTTCTCGATCCCAGGACGCATGGTCTCATTTCAAAATAAATGCACACAGCATCAAAGCCATCACCGACTGAGCCAGTCAGCACAACCCCGCGTTTTCAGTCTTTTCCGCCCGCCCGTCGTCGTCGTCGTCCGGCCTGACACCAACAATAGGCCATGGGAAGATACATCAACAATCTCCAAATCACCTGCTTCGTGTCCCCCGACAGCCGACCAACCACTGCGCCGTGGGCCTGACGAGCCAAACAGACGGAATACACGATCTGCCAGGGCCTCAGCGATCCCCTGGTCAGACATTCTCAGCCCACGCGCCAGCATTCGGCGCCTTGCCTGACCCTCGCTTAAGCCTCTTGGCCTCCTCCTGTCAATCCTCCCATGCTCAGCTGGCAACTCTCTTTTGTCCATCTTGTTTTCCTCCTTCCGCTCTCCTCACCCCGGAGACTGACCGCCTGGTGACTTGCCACGCGCCAACCGAGACGGCGATCAAGCCGATTCTCGAAGCATAGGGTCTTTCCTGTGTTGGCAGTCAAAATCGCATCTGCAGCGCATGCCCTTTTTGTTTTGGTTCTCCTTCCCCTTCCCATTCTCTGCCGGCGAGACCCTCTCTTTCTCTGTTGTGTTCTTTGTTGTCGACGCCAAAAGACACCCGCTCTCCACGCCTAGCAAACCCCTTGCCGTGGCAGCAAAAAAAACACACCGAAGATTGATTTCGTCTCCATTGAATCCACTCATCGCAACATTCGTGTGGCTCTGCAAGGAACACCGACCGGAGTATCCGCAACCTCTCGAGCAATCAAGCCGACACCTTCCCCATCGATTCGGTCGCTCGCCAGTTGGCATCGCACCCACCCACCATGTCCTCCCTTGAGGCCAAGATCGTCGTCCTCGGCTCCCAGGGCGTCGGCAAGACGAGCCTCGTCGAACGCTTTTGCAAGGGCAGCTTCAACCCTTCCCAGATCACATCGACCGTCGGCGCCTCCTTCATGACCAAGCGCGTTGTCGACGGCGATTCCGACACTACCGTGCGCCTGCAGATCTGGGACACCGGTAAGGCTCCCCTCCTCCCCGCGTGGCTGACCGGCTGGCCGCCTGCATGACTTCATGTCTGCACCTTTCTCCTATCCTTCTAACGCTCAAAAGCCGGCCAGGAACGTTTCCGCAGCATATCCCGCCTCTACTACCGCGGCGCCAACGCCTGCATCCTCTGCTACTCCATCACCGACGCCCAGTCCTTCGCCGAAATGGGCCTCTGGCTCAACGAGCTACGCCGCAACCTTCCCGCCGACGTCGTCCTCCACGTCGTCGGCACCAAGGCAGACATGGTCGCCCGCGACCCCTCCTTGCGCGAAGTCCCTTTCGAGCGCTGCATCGCCTACGTCGCCGAAAACCTCGCCCCCGGCCTCGCCTCGACGCCGCCCCCGACAGCCAACGCTACAGGCTTCGCTCCCGCCTTACCGTCCACCTTCCAGGGCGGCGTCTCCTTGTCTCCCGACTACCCCGCGGCGCACCACGCACTATCGACAGTCCACCACGCCGCGCAGCAGCAGCAGCAGCACGCCCAGAACGCCCCTTCCGATGCTGCTCACCCCCGCTCTCCCTCGTCCAAACGCTCGTCCGGCTTCTGGGGCCAGGAAGCTGGCTGGGACGCCTGCCACGAAATCTCTGCTGAATCAGGCGAGGGTGTCGAAGAGGTCTTCCGCGTCGTGACCCGCAAACTCGTCGAACAGAACCGCAAGATCCAGCAGGCCCTGCTGCAGGCCATGGCGACGCCCGGCACACCGGGCTTCGGTGCCGGCGAGGCGGGCTACTTTGACGGTGCCGTCTACGGTGGTGCCGGGTCCGCCGGCGGCAGTTTCCGGGTCGGCAGGGACAGACGGAGCTGGCTGTTTTCGCCGGGGTTCACGGTACCCGGCGTGCCGGTCGAGGTTGCCGAGGAGAGGGAAGAGATGGATGGGGCGGTGGGGAGGCGGAAGCGGTGCTGTTAGGGGGTTGCCTGCTTCGCGCGCAACCTCGTTCTCGAACGGTGTTTCTTCTCTGCTCTCTTTTTCTTTCACATCTTGTTTTTTTTACGAGTTCGTGGCTCTCGGGTGCATGGCATGGCGGCATCGGCGTGGATACCCCCATGGACTGTCTTCATTTTGTTCCTGTATTCTTTGTTCTTGTTTTTCTTTGCTGTCTTGCGTTATTCGGCATCGGCAGGGGATCTGGTTCTCGCGCTCAGCATTCATCGTATTTCTTTGCCCTGGTCCATCGTTGGCAGGCGTTCGGTTTTCGGACGGCTGGGAGGGGAGATTGCTTCAGGGATCGTCATGGGGCGACATGGCATGGTATCATTAGGTTCATACACCGCGCGATGGCGTAAAGAAATCCGTCGCTAATACGTTGTCGACCTTTCTCACGAAAGGCGGCGCGTTTTGCATACTCAATTTGGGTCTCTTCACATGCATGGTGACCTAATGTGGCACACCCCCGCTTTACAAGCACATGTACTCGACATCTTGATGTATCGTTGCACTTAGACTACGACGTTGTGCTGCTCTGCTCCCCCGCTCCCCGTCTCACAGGAACGCATGCCGGCCCTAAGCAGGCCCAGCAGCAGCAGCCGCCTTCTTCCCCTTGTCAACATCATCATCCACCACCGGCGGCGCCGGCACATCGACGCCGAGAACCCGATACTCCAATCCGACATAGGCGTCGCTCACCACCAGCACGTCGACCTTCCTCCCCTGCACGCTCTCCGGCAGCTTGATGCTCGCCTTGGCCGTCGGCCTCGAGCCCATCTCGACGCCCGCCGCTCCGGGCCTGGCGTTCTTGCCCCGCGGCGGCGCCCAGCCGACCCTCTTGACGGCGAGCACCTCGTCCTTGGCCACGTCGCCGACGACGACGAACCAGCCTTCCGTCTGCGGCTTGGGGAAGCGGGGCGCGTAGATGCGCGCCTCGCGCTCGGTGATGGCGTTGAGCCGGCGCAGCTCGATGGTGGCGCCCTGGGCTGTTATGTCCGGGATGGAGACCTTGACGTTTGGCAGGGCAGCGGCGGCTTTGAGGAAGCGTGGCTGCTGCGAGCTGGAGACGCCGAGACGCGCCGCGAGCTGCGAGAGCTTCGCCTGCGGAAGGGCCGTGATGGCCGCGAGAGGCAGCTTGCGGTCGGCCTCCTTGATGACGGGCGACTCGGCATCGACGCCGGGCAGGATGGAGGCGGCGGGGTCGGTGGGCCATCGGGCGGACTTTACGGACTGGAGGAGAGCCATCATTTGCAGGCAGCTCGACAGGTAGCCCAGCTCGGCGAGCACGTCGATCGATGCCTGGATGATACGGATGGCCTGGTCGAGAACGGATGTTTGATCGCCGACGTAATCGCTGATGGGCAGGTTGACGCGGGAAAAGTGCGCCTGGAGTAACAGGAAGGACTTGACGTGCGGGTCCCACATGGGCATGTTGAAGGCCGTCGCGGGAAGGGGCAGATTTCGGGAGAGTTCTGCGTTGATGAGGTCCTCGTTGTGACGCACGGGGAGCTCGTCGTACTCGGTCGCGCGGGACATCCACGAGAGCACGTCGAGGAACGATGCGTTCGGCGCCGCGTACTTGGCGAGAAGCCTGATCGTCAGATGGGAGAGATAGTAGTACGACATGATCTTGCCGAGTGGTGTTGAGTCGACGTCGCCGTTAGGGTACACTTCGACACAGCTCGACTTAGCGAGCTCGCCAAGCGACTTCTCTACCATCTCAATCATAAAGTCGTTGGCCAGACGTTGCGCCGCCGTGCTATTATGATCTTCGGCCGAAATCTCCAGCCCGTAGAATGATGGGTTCTTGTGTAGTCGACGGAAGAAGAAGGTCCATGTGAGGTAGTCAAGCGCATCCTGCTTGGTGACAATGGTCTCGGCCGAAACTTCGGCACCCAAATGGTTGTCCAACACCGTGTGAAGTGACGACTCGACAGGAAAGCCAGTATGAAGGAAGTGCTTGTAAAAGTCCTTCTTGGCGTTTTGCGTGAAGATGCGAGCTACGCCCGAATTGTCGAACTGTGGACGTCCTGCGCGTCCCAGCATCTGCAATACATCCGTAAGGTCCATGTCCTTGTATCCCTCGATCTTGGCGTCATAGAACTGCGTGCCTTTGACGACAACCAGGTGCGCTGGCAGATTGACACCCCAAGCGAGGGTGCTCGTCGCCACGAGAATCTGGATCTTATTGTTGAGGAACAGCTCTTCGGCGAGCTGTCGGTCCGACTCGACCAGACCAGCATGATGGAGGCCAATACCGAAGCTGATGGCCTCCTTGAGAGCCTCGTCCTTGACCCTCGTAAGATTCAACTGCAGGTCTTCTTCGTCCATGTGGAGGAACCGCCGAGGGTTGTCCTCCATACCACACAGATTGATGAGATCCTTGGCCGTAAGGCGCGTCTGTCTTCGGGATGGCACGAAGACAATGACAGGCTTGTCAGGACTGTGAGTCTTAACAGCGAGAAACGTCGGTCTATTCATCGACTGCATCAACGGACAGAAGCCCCGCACCTCAGGGAACCCGTCAATGTATAGCTCCAAGGGAACAGGGCGCACAGAGTGTCGAAAGTTGAACAGGCCCTCCTTGACGCCGAGCCAGTTGCCCAGGTCAGAAGCGTTCGCGCAAGCTGTCGACATGCCCAGTAGGCGGACAGAGTTCTTGGTAGAAGCTGCAATGTAGTTCATTCGGGAAACGATAATTTCCAGAATCGGACCTCGATCACCCGCGAGAAGGTGAATCTCGTCAATGATGACCAAGCTGACCTGTCGGACGTAGCCACGGGTCTGCCAGCTACGAGAGATACCATCCCACTTTTCGGGCGTGGTAATAATCACATCGGCGTCCTTGATGGTGCGAGTGTCGGGAGTGTTGTCACCTAGATCCATTGTCAGCAGGAGCTCCAGCCTACAGAGCCAACGAACTCACCAGTCAGTTCGACGAGCTTCAACCCGAGAGGCTTCGCCAGCCGGGCGCCCCAATCCTTGACTCGTTCACGAACAAGTGCCTTCATTGGCGCGATATAAACGACCTTGGATCCAGGACGCTCCTTGAAAGCCCACCACATCGCGAGCTCGGCTGCCACTGTTTTGCCACTGCCCGTGGGGGACCCGAGAAGGACGTTGGCGGGGGTGTTGTAAAGCGTGTGGAAGATTTGCGTCTGCATGGGGTTGAAGTATTGGAATCGTTGCGCATAAATCTCCTCCAGGGCAGGATTCTTCAGCGCCGAGATAGAGAGCGGCTGTAGATTCAGCAGATCGGTATAGAAGCTCTCAGTGTCAGGACGGATCAGGTGTTGGAATGAGACTGGTGTCACCGTCTCAGCACCGAGCCACCGGTCGGACACGGCCCGAACATAGATCTGCGTGGGGAGAGGATCGGACAGGGGAATGGTGAAGTTGAGTTCGTGGTCGTCGTTGAGCTTCCTGCGACTCAGAATGAAGAATTCGTGATGGTAAATCTCGGATGTTTCCGAGTTCTCGACCCAGATGTAGTACGATTCGGAGGTGCCATTGACATGGTCATTCCATCGGAAGTCAGGTGTGATGAACAGCCTAATCCGCAACACATCGCGGTTCAAGGGAGCAATCTCTGCCTCAATGCTAACCGTAGGGAAGTTGCTCAGTATCCGTGAGATGTTCTTACCAGCAGCCTGGTTGTGAACAAGACCACCAATCTCCGCTGGATCCATGTCTCGCATGGCCTCGATTGTGAGATTTGCCTTGGCGTCAAGCTGGTTTAGAACCGACTTGGCCAAGTCGAACTGATGAAGGGGATGCTGGAATGGCCAGATACGCCTCTCAATAGACTTTGCTAGAGTAAGAAGCACCAGACACTGGTGTCCCCATCTCCTGTTGAGCGCGATCATGAACAGCGCTCTGCAGATACGTCCAGACTGTTGCGCCACGTAGTTGAGATCATTGCCAAGCGCAAAGTCTTCCATCTGCGCCCGCGAGATATACGCTTGTAGAAGAATATTTGTCTTGGCCTGGGGCGTGTCGATACCCTCACCGACCGCACAAGGCACTACGTTGTCCTTGAGGTATGACAGCTCCTTCGCTTCGCTGTCTCTGGACTGAATGTTATCGAACTCGCCGCTCATGCTCATCATTTTCAGAACATCCGCCTCCGTCGCATGCGGCTGCATCATGGTGTTGAAGATTTGCACGCTGGTGTGGAGGATATAGAATTGGCTGGCAATGCGTCCAATGTCCTTGCTGCGCAGCTCCTCCGTCACCTCGTTGAATATGATCATCTGACTCTGTTGGAGTGTTTTCGCCGCCTGGATCGCCAACTTTCGACGTCGCTGGACGAGAGTCGGGTCGTCCCTAATTTCCGCCCATTCGATACCGTAGGTCATGGGGCTCCGCTGCATTCTGACAAAAAGATAGGAATAGCCAATCCACTGAACGGCCTCGGGAATCGACGTGACGGTACCCAGGGAAATTTCGGCGTTCAAGTTGTCCACAAGTTTTGACGAAAACTTGGATTCGATGGGCTGCTGTTCCGTGACAGCTGTAAGGTAGTGCGGGAGGCGATCGAGCGTCGTGCAGATCATGCCAATACCAGTGTCCTCAAACTGAGGTCGACCAGCACGACCAAAGATTTGTAGGACGTCGAGAATTCCCAGGTCGACAAACTTGCCGTCCTGGGCGCTGTACACCTGGGTTCCCTTGATAATGACAGCTGCGGCTGGCAAGTTGACACCCCAAGCCAAAGTGGCCGTACAGCAAAGGACCTTGATGACACCCTCTCCGAAGAGGCGCTCCATCAAGTTCCTGTCGGATCGGGCCATACCGGCGTGATGAATACCCAGACCTTTGGGGATGAGTTCGCGAAGGTCCTTTGCCTTGGACGATTTCATATCGCGGACGGCGTTTTCGTACTTCGGATGGCCACTAGGGTCAAAAAGGTCCAGGCAGAACTGGTCAACCGCCTTCTCGTGCAGCATTTTGGCCGACATGTATGTATCTCGGCGGGAATGTACGAACACCATGATCTGGTGTCCCTGCTCCAGCATCTCCTTGACCTTGTCGAAGGCCACGTTGTCGAGGTTCTCTTTGGATTGTTTCGACCCAGCCTTGCCCTTCACACCGATGAAGTGCTGCTCAAGCGGAACGGGGCGAAATGACGCGTCGAAATAGAACAAACCCATGTAGCGGTTGACCTTGAGGAAGTCGGCGACGTCGATGTAATTGGGCAGCGTGGCACTGAGACCAACAATGCGGATGAGAGATTGGGTGCTCTCGACCTGACGCTCCGTTCGGGCGACAAGGGATTCGAGAACGGCACCACGCTCATCGTGTAACATGTGGACCTCATCAATGATGAGAAGCCTCACCTTCTGCACCAGCTCAGTGTCGCCCGTGCCCTTACGCGTAACAACGTCCCATTTTTCAGGGGTTGTCACGATGATCTGGGTCTGTACAATCTCGGATTTAGTCAAGTGCATGTCACCGGTGTATTCGCGGCACTTGATGCCAAGCCATGCCAGGCGCTTGCCCAGCTTGTCGGTAATCTCGGCGGCCAGGGCTTTCATGGGCGCGACGTAGACAATCTTGAAGTCGGCCGAGTTGACGGCGAAGTCAGTGACCGACGGGGTTTCGATAGGGTTAGGTGTGCAATAATGGCCGATAGTCTGCAGGATGGTGAGCATAGCAGCATCTGTTTTACCCTACGCAGAGGTTAGCTTATTTTATTGGTAGAGACTTCGAAACCGAACTTACAGCACCAGTAGGTGCACAAATGAGCATGTTCTCGTTCGTCTTGTACGCCACAGGATGCACGAGACTCTGCATGCGGTTGAGGGACTTGTAGCCCTTGAAGGTGGCCCGGCAAAGGCCGTCCATGTCGGCAATGTTGACGAGTTTTCGTCCAGGACCCAGCGTGCCCTTCTTTCCGGCAGGAATCGAGTACTCCTCATACTTTTCGAAGATATCCCTCTTGCTACCCTCAGGCAACGCGTACTTGCGGCCCGAGTGGCTCAGGCTGTTATTCGCGGAGTGTGCCTTGTACACGTGCGGGTACTCGTTCTCTCGGTTGACATGAGGGGCGAGTACAGCCGTCTTGTGTTCGTAGTCTTTCCTGCGAAGAGCTTCATCCCGCTCCGCCTTGGACAGGAGTCTCCGCCCGCCAGAGCCCTCCTGGGTGCCCTGGGACGTGACGGCAGTGACGATACTGCTGCGGTGAGCGAGGAGCTCGATGATGAATTCAAGGTCGTCGAAACCGACGAGATCGGTGAGCTGTGACTGAACCTCATCCTCACCTCTGTCGAGGGTCAATACTCCGAGGACCTGGTTTTGGAAGGCGTCACTGGAAAGGCCATTCTTTGCCGCAACCTCGGAGCATTTACCGACGAACCAGTCGGCGCCGAACTCTTCTGCCTGGGCGAAACCGTCGGGACCGTCCAGCTGATCGCTGCTGTAGTCGTCATCGTCGTCAGAAATGAAGTCCCACACATCCTGAGCGGCATTTCCGGAAGAATAGCCTTCGTAGTCGTCGTCAAAATCTAACTCTGTGGGCTTCGTGTCGGCAGAGAGGTTAAGGCTAGAAAGAGCAGCCTTCATGGCCTCGAATTGAGCTCGCCATTGGGCTTCAGCGCCGTCGATGCCGTTCGACGCCATGGTGTCTGGTGTGGTGTTCGGAAAATGTGAGGCACCGTCCGTCTGTCGATGAAAAGCGATGGCCAGGTGCTGGAAAAGGCCACGTTGGTGCTGTGACGGCGGCGAGTTTGCTGAAGAAAATGTGTTCAAGCACTCAGTATTTGGTGAGAGGCGACGTCGACTCAAGTATGCTGGTGAGCGACAAGTGTAGTGTTGTATGTTGTGTGTCATCACTCGTCACTCTTCCAGCTGCTGCAGGCCTGCTGGAGTCACCGGTGAGGGCAGTGCTCTGGTTGTGGACTCATAGCGGAGCTCATCACTAGCCACACCTGTAATCGCCACATGAATGTCGACGTCTGGCAGCCTGGCAGGCATCTGTATGGCAGCGGTACCTCACCTCACCTGCACTGACCGCTACAGCCAGGGGCATGTGATGAGCAGACAAAGTGGGTCGGCGTCTGCCAAAGCCCCCAGATCACTTCCAGAGCCTCGCTGCTTTAGGAACAACTTAACCTGATCATGACCAAGGGAGACGTTACGGGCGAGCCGTGGAAATCATTGGGTTGATGGAAGTTATTCTGGCTGAAAAAAACAAGACAACTTCGCAAGCAATGCTGAAGCATCGGTAATTAGGCCATCTCCTAGGTAGGGCACTTGATCTCGAACTCAAACGAGGCCCATACTGGTGAATCCGACTACCAAGGATGCTATATCGCCTCATCGTCCGGTCTGGTAGCTATCGACACTACCTACCTGTACCAAAGACAGCAGGAAAAGGTTTACTGATGGCCTCGTAAATGAGTTACCCTTGTGAACACAGAAGAGTTGTTATTCACTTGAAGGCTATTTCCCCCCTTCGGATCAAATTTCATCCACGTGTGCTCCGAGGGAGCACCTAACCGGCTTCCACCTGTCTAAGCTGTTGGCTTCTGTGAGTGCAAAAGCTTGCAGTCGCATTTGGTTCGCCGCTCCTGTTTCCGATAAGCCCTCGTTTTTTTTTGCCCATGATGATGCGAGCATAAGCATGACTCGCAACGTGTAGGTCGCATCGTTGCCGGCATTGTGAAGCTCACGCGGCTCGTAGGGACACCTCAGTGCTGTCAGGACCCCAGAGAGAAAGTACCTGCCAGCAGCACGTTCACCTGTGAGGATCGCTTTGCTAAGGCTGTATGTGTCCAATATAGCCACGATGTTTTTCTCCTCGTGCATGTTGGAACCGAGTCTCTTCAAGATGGCCAGATCGCCGGCAATTGAATGGCCCACAACAATGGTTTGGCGTAGGGAACTCGCACCACTTTCCGCTATTGCACGATCGTCTCCCTGGATGCGTACTGCACGTGCAACGATGGGAATGAGCTGCTCCGGATCCACGTGTAACGTCTCAGCGAATTCACACTCTTTGAAGTTGGTTACATCGCAGTCTTCGAAGTCTTTGGACGCGTTCAATGTTGAAGATTGCCGTGTTTTGATCCGTCTTTTGGTTGACGCTGGCATACACTCAGCAGGCGGATCAAAGATCTGTCTCGTGTCCATGGACGCAATGACGAGTTCCCTGATCACAGGCTGGTATCCCTTGTCGAGTATAATAGCCTTCCTGCATCTCAGAGACACTTCGAGGTCTAAAGATACAATGACCACGTCGGACAGAGAGGAATTGGCAGCCGATTCCGTCATTCGAAGGTGCATGAGCAACTACTGCAGTTCCTCTTGGATCCCCATGGCCGATTGCATTTCCCAGCCGATTTGTGCGTGAGCACTGGATGAGCAGACCACAAGAATTATTATTTCCCATTTTGTTGACACAGGCAGGCCAGACGCAAGCTTAAATACTTTAAAAACAGTCCACAGGTTCCCAAGGTTGTGAGCGCAAGAACTCAATCATCAAGTGCTCCGCCTGGATGAGCGGAGGCTGGCTCAAGTAAGAGCGGCAAGGACACTAGCCACAAATAGTGCATGATTAGTGCCAATGCACTCCTCGCCGCAAAACCAAGAAACCCAAACGTCACGGCCACGGCCTGGTCGCAGGTCGATGGATAACGCCCCCAACAACCTCCTCGAGCGCAACCAAGACCACGAAACCACCATACAGCCGCCGTACGTCCTACGTCTCTTTCCACACCCAACACATTTCCCCAGACGCCAGCGCACGCAGTCTAATCGCTCTCCAGACCATGAAGCTTCACTACATCGGCGTAAGTCCGACCCCTCGATCCCACTGCCGCCAGGCCTCTCGTAGACCTCCGCCGACCCCGACGACAACCGACTGATCCTCACCCCCTTTCCCCAGGTCATCCGCAACCAAGAGAAGCCGGCGCACGAGCTCGTCAGCGAGAAGGAGTTGTCCGCCTACTCGCGATTCACAAAGAACAAGTACGTCCGACCCTGACCCGACACCGACCGCCTGTTCGGCTGACCATTGTGCCCCTCTCTTTCACCTCTTTCAGCTATGGCGAATTCATGACCCTTTTCTCCAAGACGATCGCCGAGCGCACCGCCCCCGGCCAGCGCCAGTCCGTCGAAGAGCAGGACTACACGTTCCACGCTCTCGGTCGCAGCGAGGGCATCTGCGGCATGTGCGTGCCATTTCCCCCGTCTCCTACCCCCTGAATGTCACCCGACCTGACGCCTCTCGCACAGCATCATCTCCGACCACCAATACCCGAGCCTCGTAGCCCACCAGCTCCTCTCCAAGGTGTACGTGGCCTCCCTCTTCCCCAAATTTCACGGCCGCGAAGAAGGGCAAGCCTGACGGGAAGACAGCGTCGACGAATTCCTAGCCAAGCACCCCCGCTCCACCTGGTCCGCCGGCAACCCGACCCTCGCCTTCCCCGAGCTCAAGGACTACCTGTCCAAGTACCAGGACCCCCAGCAGGCCGACAGCATTCTCAAGATCCAGAAGGAGCTCGACGAGACCAAGATTGTCCTGCACAAGACCATCGAGTCCGTCCTGCAGCGCGGCGAGAAGATTGATGACCTCGTCGCCAAGAGCGACGGTCTAAGCTCCCAGAGCAAGATGTTCTACCGTGCGTTCCAGCCCCCCGCCCCCTACCTCCCAACAGCTTCTTCATGAGGGCTGCCCCTCTTGGACCTTTCGCAAGTGTGAGGCACCCGACTAATTGAACAACGGTAGAACAAGCCAAGAAGCAGAACTCATGCTGCGTGCTGATGTAGAGACCGCCGAGGGCCGTAATCAGTGTGTCGCGGCGAGAACGGACATATCCGGGGGAAAGGGCGGAGGAGGAGGCGGGCCGCGGTCCCATGTCTAGCGTTTGCAACTCATCGTTCCGGGAGGGAAGGGGAAGAGACGCTCGTTTTTACACAGTTCACATGCCAGGTAGCCATGATTTGACCATTTCAACGCTTTTTTCACTTCATGCCAGCGGTTTCCATGGCGCTTGTGAAGATGCGGTACGCGCCATGGTACCAGGAAACGTCGAGTCAAAGGCCTGTCCTCTCGCCTTCGGATCGCGTTGTGAGACCCCGGGGGCTAGATGAACGGCGTACCGAGCGAGAGAGAAATCTCTTCGCGCGCATGATCAGCGTGGTCGGTAACTCTTTTTGCAAACAGGAGCAGAGGATTGTATATTCGGAGTCACCAGAATCAATCTCGTTGCCAGTACCCACCCGTGTGATCAAGTATCCAACAAGACGAGAATGCCCCTACTCTCTCCCATGGTTGACCTGAGTTGGTTATCATATTCCTGACGTATGACTGGCTTGGCCTCTTTCCCCTGCACCGTCTTCCTCATGGTTTGACAAGCGACAGTGAAAGCACTCGTCAACGAAAGCAACATCCCGCGAGGCACAATTTAAGCATCGAATGATTGTCGGCAAGAAATGTGTTGAAATTCGGTTCAGTCTCTAGAGTGCCGGTCACCGCCAGCTGAAAATGAAAAAACACCAAACCCCATCCTTCGCTTCAGTGGTATCAATGCTTCCTTCAAGGTCGCAAATTTTTGTTCCCATCCCAATCGGGTCTCTCCAATCATAATGCTATGGCAGAGAAATGCGACAAATGAAATGCCAAAACCCCAAGAGTCGCAGACTCATCGGCCGCCCTGGCCAAAAGAAAAAACCGTCGCTTCATGGTCTGAACAAATGAAAATATACATCGCCAATGCGGCGCCCCAAGCCGTCCCCTGCTGAAGAATGAAGTTTTGGAAGAAATATCCCAATGCTTGCCGTGCGCCCCGATCAAACGCCTTCCACGACGATTCGTTCGCTCTTGCGATGCTGTGCCAGCGGCGACCCGCCGAAGGGAATGGGTGGCGGTGTGATGAGCGTCGGCGTTGCCATCTTGGTGGCTGCGAGCCTCTCACTGCCTTCCACAGTGGGCAAACTACCTTCACGGGGCTCACGGGCCGCCGGGCGAGGCCTGCGGCCGGCACCGATGCCTGTCCCAGTACGAAGCATCTTACGCTGCGAGTGAGATATGCTGATTTGGCGGGCAATGGAGATTTCGACAGCAGCATTCAGTGCCGTGTCATCGATCGAGTCGTTAGACGGAGTCTTGGTGTGCGTTGTCCGTGGCGACGGCGAGCGCGAGTCTTGTGCGGGCGTCGAGGCCTTCTTGATGCTCAAGGGTGTGGGCGTGATCATTTCCCACGCTGGCTCCTGGATCGCGGGCCGCAGCTGTTCCTTGATATGAAAGCCGGACTCCTCTTCCGTTGGGGAGTCAAGAATCAGGCTGGAGCTGTTTGGGCCAAAGTAGAACCCATGAGCTGGAGCCTCGAGCTGGGCGGGATTCTGTCGTTGCTCTGTGGGCCTACGAGGGACATGCTGCGCTGTTTGACTGAGCGACGTTGACCGAGGAGGCTGTTGTGGCCTGGTGTTGCTGTTCTGCTTATGAGATATGACGTTCTCCTTTGGGTGCGCTGGTAGACCGGAGGGCATGGTGCTTGCTCGGAAACGAGGCGAACTAGGAGTCGGTGCGTCGGTGTTGGAGCGTGCAAGGCTGTTGCCCGATGGAGGCGGCGGGAAGAGAGAGAGCGACGGCGATCGTGCGTGATGGTTTGGCGACG